GGTCTGCGTCGGGGTCTGGGGCTGCGTCTGGATCAGGGTCTAGGTCTGCGTCTGCGTCTGGGTCAGGGTCAGGGTCTGCGTCTGGGTTAAGGTTTAGGTCTGCGTTTGGGTCTAGGTCTAGACGTCTGATACAAAAGCAGGCTACTAGTCAGGATATAATATACATCGATGATGTGTGGAAACACACGAAAGGAACTGTCGACAAAAAGTTGGAGCGGTCCGAGCCTTACAGAATATTTACGTCTCCAATTTCCTGTGATTCTAAAACACACACCGAAGAATCAACACTGTCGTTTCCAGGTGTGTATACAGTTTACAGTACTGGAAGGTACTGTATTGTACATATTGAAGAAGACAACTTAGAATACTTAGATACTGCACTATTCCTTAATAGAATTTTAGCTGTTACCAATGTTGTGTTCTTCATTGCAATATCGAAACAAAATCAAATATTTAACTTTCATTACTATTTGTTTCAGAGCTCTTAGACAAAAGTCTCGGTGAATTATCGGAATCACTTCACTTGAACTTCATGGTCGAGATCGGCTGGCTAGTTGCTCAATATGCCATAACTGGTCAAAGGTAATATGATAATAAATTAGTCCTAAGGCCAATATTTATCGAGATTCACTAGCATTTGCTAGGTACTATAGAAAACAAATAAATAYAGTAGATGAAGCTTTTTTTGCATCGAGAATTCCAAATGTTAACATTTTATATCGTATAATCTATATATTATTTATAATAACTTGTCCTGGGTGATTGTTCATTTTCTAGCTGAAACCGCTGAAGCTATGAGTATGAAAATTGGACAATAGTTTCATTCTGTGATATAGGCATTCACTAAGAAAGGATTTTTCAAAATTCGATCCATTCGGGGGTTAAAGTGGTTATATAATATAAAGAAGAAAAATTGTTTGTTTGATCGGTTAGGTCAGAATCTATAAGCTATATTTTATCTTGATAATTGGCTCTTAATTTTTTTATTGTAAATTTGAGGTTTTTATAAAAATTATAAAAATAATAGTAATAATAATATTGAATATATTTTTATTTATTTTATAGTTGCTATTGGTTATACACATTAGTATGGATGATCACCAACCATGAAATGTTGTCACCTTTACAAAGCTAAAGCTGCTATAAAATATTATGATTGAAGATAATTTTAATCCTGTATTTTAAATTTTAAATTACTGTGTAAAAAATCTTTTATGGAGATTAAGATTGGTTAAATCCATGGAAATTTGTCACAGGAAGTTTTGATCATGATTAACCGGGTATAAACAACAAATTAAACAATGATTTTGAATCATATAGAGTCGGTATTTTTAACAGGCAACAAAATACACGGTGATCAGCTGGTGTTTCTAACTGATATGCATAAAATTTGGTTAACTTTTTATTTTTCAAAAATCTTGTATGTTAAGTGAAAAAAGAATAAAATTTGTTATGGATAGATCAGAAATTCAAAAATATAACTTTGCATTCAATAAATTTCTTTGTACAAGTTCATGTTTATTAATTTAGTAATAGATACCAAACAAATTTAAATTTATTGAACCTCATAAATGTATTACATATTTTATCTTAAGTTACTAATAATCTATATTTAAGAGTTCAGGACATTGAATCAAAATATATTTTAACATTTTAACCTTTTGAAAAGTGACCTCAAAATTTGTAAATGTATCTAAGAGAGCAGCTTTGGAATGGAAAATTGAAAAAACAAAGACTAATAGGTATACGTTCTATTTTTCATAAACATTTCCACAAATTGATTAATTATAATTGAACTTTAGGTAGCAGCACATAATTTATAATAGGTATTTAAGTATTTAATTGTAATTTCATCATATAAGACACAAATTAAAATGAAAAATTATCCATGTTCTTTTTAACAGTGCTTTAAAAAAATGTATATATGTTTCCATTCTAAATAAAAGTAGTTATTGAATTATTTCATGCTTATATTACCTAAGATAAGTTTATACTAAGTTTTATACTATATAATTTTTATTGAAGGTATTTTTTTTTTAATTATTATTATTATTAAATTGTACATAAACATTTTATTTTTTTCAGGGGTAAAAGAATTACACTTTTATATAGATGTTGTGATCTAGATATCGATAAGTTACATTTAAGGAAGAAAGTACTAGATGTTAGACATAAAAGAATAATTAATAAAGATGCTTTTGGTTATCAGCATAGGTAAGTAACAATAATTTTTATCTCATATAAAACCATTAAGTATTTTCAATAAATTACWAATTGTATTACATTGAACATTTCAGTAAGGTATCAATGTTTGCTTATGCCGATGGTAGTTTACGAGTTATAGTTATGTCGGCTAATTTGTGTGAAGATGATTGGACCAAATTTACTCAAGGGTAAGAAAAATTACTGTTGTATTCATTTTTAATTGAATCATTTTACATTTTAGAATTTGGGTGAGCCCAAAATTTCCATTGATAGCGGAGAATGATAAGTCAGATGGTAATTCTAAAACTAACTTTAAAATAGATATCTTGCGATATTTAAAATCTTTTAAAGAACCATTATTAATTCAATGGATAAAAAAAATTGAAAAAATAGATTTCAGTCAAGCAAAGTAAGAGAGTATATTATTAAAAACCATAACTAGAACATAAAATATTAAAATCTTTTTGTTGTGCAGTGTGTTTTTCATACCTAGTGTTCCAGGCAGTCATAAAGAAAATTTGTGGGGACATGTATATTTAAAAAGTATTTTAAAAAAACATGCTTGTCTACCATTTCATTTACCGTCAGAATGGCCTATAATTGCTCAATGTTCATCATTGGGATCTTTGGGTGCCACAGACAAACAATGGTTGAGATCAGAGTTTATTGAAAGTCTATCAGCTTCTACTTATAGTGGAGTTATAGATACAGACAATGATCCTATTCCTTTCAACTTGGTTAGATAAACAATGATTTTAGTTTTTTACATAAATAATKAATTTTACCTTTTAGATTTTCCCATCTAAGAACAATGTTTTGAATAGTTGGAATGGAGCTTCAGAGGGTGCATGCTTGCCGTATAGTAAGGAAGTACATGAAAAACAATTGTGGCTTAAAAAATACATGTGGTTAGTATTTTATAATATTTTGACAAATTTGAAATTTCTTACAGATAGTTTCTATGTTGATACATTATTTTACAGCTTATGGAAATGTCGTTCACAAACGCGAACAAGATCAATGCCTCATATAAAAACCTATTGCAGAATTTCGTCATGTTGTACCAAAATGTCTTGGTTTTTGTTGACAAGTGCTAATTTATCAAAATCTGCTTGGGGCAGAAAGCTTAATTCAAATGGGAATAACTACATAATGGCAAACGAAGCTGGAGTTTTGTTTTTGCCTCAATTTTTGGTAAATGTATACATATTTTTTTAATCTGTTGAATGTCTTGTTGTTTTAAACATTATTAATTTAATTTTGGCAGATTGGATCAGATACATTTTCTATAAATGATCCCGATACAAGTGAATCACCGCATTTTAATTTACCTTTTGATTTGCCATTAGTTGAATACTCGGCTATTGACCAACCTTGGACTATATAAGTGGGTAAATTATGAATTGAATTTAACATTTTTATGTTATAAATGTATACAGGAAGATATAATTTTTCTAATTAATATACTCTCATTTTTTTTTTTTTTAGTGTGTGTGTTTTAATCTAACTTGTAATATTTAAAATAATTTTTTGAATGGTTTTTACTTTTATATTCACTTAAAAAAATTCTTAAATAGAATAATATTATATATAGAATTTTTTATTTGATTAAAATATTTAAAAATGCTACATTTTCCAAAAATACTGTATACTCTTATTTAATATTATTTAATTTACTTGATATTTCAATACTTATTTATGATATCTTTTTTTTCATATCGTATTGAGGACTGGAGAAGGTACTATGTTGCAAATACTTATCCTCCGGCCAACTATTATTTAATTAATATCAATAATATAATGCAAAAATCATTTATTTTTTATTAATTTAATCTTACAATGTTGTTCTCAAATACAATCAATTGATGATACAATAACAAAGCATATATAAAAGTATAATGATTGCTGAAAAAGAGTAAAATATTTAAATATGTTTTTATAATAATAACAATGGTACAGCTACTAAAAAATCTTTTATATTATCTGTGGTACCTAATAGCTTAATATTTCTTAGTAGATGTACAAATGAAAAGTTAAAAATTGAATAGTCATTGATGACATTCACATAGTCATATTAGGTGAAAATGGAGAATTGTGTATAATATATATATATATATATATATGAAAAGGGAGAACATTTTTATTTGGAAAATAACGATTTATCCAGTTAACATCTACCTAAAAAATTAAGAACAAGTTTCAGGTGTAATGTTTGAAAAGAGCTTAACATTATTATTGTATCTTCTGTTTCAAACTAATAATAGTCTGATTATGAAGAAAATTTTATGACAAATGCAACAATACTTATGCAAACATTTTCTTTGCACTTGATTGATTATGGTTAATTATAATTTATTACCTGTGTAACATTGTAAAAATTAAAAACTTACCATCCTGTGAATCATGGGTCATAACTCAAACATAGAAACCAAATCTCAAAAATAAATTAACGATAGTTTTAATATTTCTTTTATAATCATACATTATTTATTAAACGTAATTTTAATTTCAAAACTTATTGTCTGAGCAACAAGCACCTAAAATAAATCAGCAACTATGTAGGTACCCAACAATTTAAACTAAGTTAAATTTAAATCATGACTAAATAATTTAGTCATGGACCAAGGTGTACTATGCTCATTGCTCAATAAKTCAACATTGTTATTAATAGTTGGGTAATTCAATGTCATTGTACTGTATAGAAGTATATTTGCTAAAAAATATATTTTAGTCTTCAGTATTAAAAATAAATACTCAAAAACTAAACACAAAAATTCTGTTTATCAACACAATTGATACCATTTTTAACCACATCATTGCATATTTACATATTGCATCTCATTTCATTCGTGTTTAAATTTTAATTAAATTACTAAACAAACACGGTAGAAGATAAAACACAAATTTAAAGACATTTTTATGACAATAAGAACTTATTAAGAGGACGATACACTAACGTGACCATAATTTTTTTCCTTCAAAGCGGGATACCTGTACATTTTAATAAGAAAACCATATAATTTTGCGTAAAATAACAATTTTTTTTATTGAATAAAAAACATTAATTGTTTATATGAAAAATGAGAATATTATATTAATCATAATAGTCTCCCAACAATTATAGATTTTAGTGTTTCACAGTTTATATAATATATGTAAGTATACGTCATATACTGTTAACTGTATAGATACAGCCAGGGGCGTCATTTGTGGGGTGGCGGGGTGTGCGGTTGCACCCCTTACTTTTAAAATGTTACTATTGGCCTGCGCCTTGCTGAAGCCTAAAATAATGCACGAGCCACGAATGCACAATTATTTATATGATTAAAATCAAATTGTAATWACCGGTCTATAATGTATGGAAATAATTGAATGCAGGATAATATACATATACTTATGTATAATATCTGTTTTTATATGGCCTGGTGAAATTTCAAAATGGCCTGCTTGAAACTTCGCACACCCTAGAAAAAACCGGAAATGACGCCCCTAGATACAGTATAAATGTATGATTGTGATATATGATCAATAATTAATACCTACCACATGTCGACTTTTCTTAAAACGGGACATTTTTAGGTTCTTTGGGGACGGCGGGACACTTATCTCGAAAGCGGGACGTATGGTCACGTTACGCTACATCCGCATATGCAGTCTTCGTCTTACAAACGCTAGCATAGCAAATTTTATGATCAGCAGATCACGTTTGACTACGTTAATTTAAAATTTAGAGTAAACTGACCTTTTACAAAAATTTAAGGTAACATTATTATCGAGGACATCTCGTAGGCTTTTTATTATATTTTAATTTTAAAGTGAGTTATGTGTATTTTAAAATTGTAAATTGTTTGTACCTATATCTTAAAATACTCATAACTCACTTTAAAATTAAAATATAATAAAAAGCCTACGAGATGTCCTCAATAATAATGYTACCTTTAATTTTTTTTAAAGATCAATTTACTCTAAATTTTAAACTAACGTAGTTAAACGTGATCTGCTGATCATAAAATTTGCTATGTTACGTGTTTGTAAGACGAAGACAACATAATATGCGGGTGTAGCGTCCTCTTAACGTTTCTCTTAGCTCTCTTCGTTATGTTGGCCAAAAAGCGTTCACACGTCAAACAAACCAGTTGAGAAACTCCGTCAAATGTTTAAAGTCTGAAGTGTCTACGGTCTTAATCTTAAACCATGCTCGTGGTTATTTCTGTATATGAATTACCTTGGCATTTTTTGTAAGAAACGTGAGTAGTTGTTTATTATTCAAAAAAATACATGCCAACCATTAATAATAATTTACGGTAACCATTCTACATTTCTACGCGTAATATTAGGTAGGTTGGTAGGTACTAGGTACTGTAATAAACTAAACATTAAGGGACTAACATATGCAACTTATGTACACAATGATGAACAAGCAACCACCTGTAGTCAATCAGTGACCGCCATAGAAGTGGGGCACTATTTAGTTCGGTATTCAGTCTATTATTCTGTCTCACTTGTCTCAGTCTCTTCTGTGCCCTGTGGATTGTCGTGGTCCAGTGCAGCTGCCTCGTTACTTCGTTAGTCGGTTGTTGCATATCAAGTGTAGTCCACTGACATAAACTAGTATTCAAGTGCTTATGAACGTAATTAATGTTTTAATAATATGAAATATAATATTCAACAATAATGTTTATCAAACAATTTTCTGGCGTTCCCGCCATCAATTTTGTAAAAAAGTTTGTTACTAAATATAAGAGTGAAATCGATTCAGATTTAAAATTTATAATTGCTTGGTATACCGTAAATATGAGCCATAATGTACACGCATTAGTTTTATATGAAACAACGAGTGAGGAATCTGCTGCATCAATCCTTTTACTTTCGAAATGTGATTTCGACCCATTGGAACAACAAAAAAATCCAAATATTCTGGATTTTGTGTATACAATTCGATCAAAACGAAGGAAAGGATATTCTGCACAACTTATTACAAAAGCTCAACAGAATTTCCAGTTTACAGTATTCTGCAAAAATGACAAAACATCAAATTTGTTTGCAAAATTGAAATGTATTAAAAATGATCCTTTAACTAAATCAACTAATTTAGATGTATATCGTTGGAACATGACAAATTAAAAGTAAAAACAAATAAAATTATACAATTCTTTTTAATTAAGTTTACCAAAATTGTATTAATAAAAGCATTTTTACACATGAACAAATTCACTGCTTATTTAATTTTAACTTTTAAGTTTTAGTGTCCGACTCAAAAGTTACGAGTTAACAACAATGAAGATTGGATAATTACCATGAATAATAACCATATGGTGGCTTATTAAATTTTGTAGAAGGATTTGTTTCATTTTATTTACATTGAAATGTTTTTATCTATATTTTTATACATTTTCTTGTTTGAATAAAATTTAATTTATAAATGAATTAGATGACGATAAGTGATATTGACAAATTAATTTTAGAAAATAAACAATGTTTTGATGATCACTCATGCACAGTTTAACATAATTTAAAATCTAAAACACATTGGAATTATATGAAATACATTTTATTTAATTGTGAGATAGTTTTGAGAACTAACTGTTGAAACCTAATTAATCAAAAATCAATATAAGATAATGATCATAGATTGTATAGTCACCCCAATAGATGTAATATAAATATTTATATTTTGTCTATGGTAACTTTTTACATGGCTGACTCTAATAAGGTTTTTGTAGCAAAATGTTTAAGGTAAAAGTAAGACCATACTTCACCATGCGTGTATAAGGTATATTATTGTTCTGTTGTATATTTTAGGTAACTATTTTAAGATAATAGTATACAATATAATACTAACATAATGCAATCATTTTCTCAACATTAATTTCTGTTTTAAACAGGAAATATTTAATATCTGAAGTTTTAAGAGAGTTATAAAATGATCACAAATGATTACTCCTATTTTAAAACAGGCCAAGTTCCAAACTTTTTCCAGGTTTTCCAAAATACTTGACAAAAACAATTAAAAACATCCAATTAAATGTTGCTAACAAATATAAATAATTAACTTTTATTTATTTATTAAAATTTTTTCAGTATATATAAATATTTCAAATGGTATATTATATTATATTTATTTAATTTTCTTAATTTCTAATTTTGGTATCGAAGGTGAGTTGTTTTATAATACCTATGTTGCTTATAATATATTGTGTAGCACAGTTCTTAAAAAAGAAGGGCATCATGGATTAAATCATCAAAACTTACAAAATAATGTAAAAGATTAAAGTTGCATGAAAATCATAGATATATAATATTAATAGGATATGCTAAAATATGTTTCAATTTCAATTTTTTTTTTTTGATCAGTTACATGCACGGTTTAAGATATGAGACTACCGTCATTATCTTAAACCGTGGTTACATGACAAATTATTGATAATGATAATTGATAACTAAATGTAAATATTGCCCAATCGGCATAATATGGCGGCCAAACTTCAATAATTGAAACTAGTCGGCTGACGGCTATCTAGTTTAATATTATATATCTTTTATGTAAATTCAATTAGTTCAATAAAATTAAATACAATTTTAATATATATTATTATATTAATATATTTATATATTTAAATGTAATCAAACAATTATGGGATTAAGCAACCGTCGTGATAGTGTGATACTAATAATAATATTACTGATAAAAGGTGCTCCACCGCCTCCACCAGACCAGACCGTGTTTAGTATTTACGACTGATAAGTAAAATAAGTAATTTTACGCAGAGTTGTGTAACATTGAAAAGTCTGTACTTCTGTAGTTTGATGCTAGAGTTCAAAACATTTATCAATTTTTGTCGTCAGTTCGTTCATTGAAGTACAAATAGTTTCAGAAACTAGGTATCATCAATAAAAGTGTTGCCATTATTGTGAGCAATAAGTTAAAAGCGCAGTCTCAGAATAGGTAACACTAATCGTTTTTATTTCATATTGTTTGTCACCCATGAACATAAACAACAAAATATTGTTCATGATCCTTATTTGTCACCAATTAATCTTTGTGTAATAACGATTTGTCATTTCAGATGGCCAACCTCTATAAAAACTACTTGAAACTCTTGAAGCAATGGCCATTGGACCCCAGTAAAACCGGCAGGTAGTCAAGTCTTTGCTAATGAGTTTACAAAATAATATGATTGGTGACAATAATATTTACTACATCATGTATTTTTAGAGATCTAGGAGAGCACATCCGTAAAGAAGTGGGAGCAGCTTTCAGCTCTGGTGATTCCTTCCGTGGTGATACCACAACGTGCATAAAGAAATACGAGTCCCTCAAACGTCTAGCGGATAATCACTACTGTAACAAATACAAACGTTCGATCCAAGCAACAGCATCTGGACTCACTAGTGAACATTGTACAGCTGTATTGTCCAGAGAATCTCTAGAGATTTTAAATAATAAAAATGAAGGCTTCTTTAAGACAACTTTTAACAAAATCAAAGATAAAATTAGTACGCCAACACAACAGCAGGCCTCACAAGCCAGTACTGCTGGAAGAAGCGATTAGCTACCTATCACCTCAAAAGGACCACAACATCATAGACATGACATTCGGTGCCGGTGGACATACAGAAAGGATTCTGCAAGAAAATGATACAACAACTGTTTATTGCTTGGACAGAGACCCAACTGCATGTGCCATGGCTAAACAACTTTCTGAACGTTATCCAAACAGAGTGGTACCTTTGAAGGGTAAATTTAGTGATTTGCCAGTTCTGTTAAAAAACTTAGGATGTAAAATGAATAGTTTTGATGGTATTTTATTTGATTTTGGTGCTTCTTCTATGCAATTTGATACGGCTTCCAGAGGCTTTTCAATTAGTAAGAATGGCCCTTTGGATATGAGAATGGACCCTGAAGAACAGACAATTACAGCAGCAGACGTGTTAGCCAAAGCTGATCAATCAGATCTATATAAAATATTTAAAATATATGGAGAGGAAAAACAATCAAAGAAAATTGCAAATGCTGTAATTGAAGCAAGGTACACTTCCTAACTACTATTACAAATATAATTAAGTTTTGATATTAGTAAATTCATRTTTTTAGAAATTTACATTTTAGTTGAGTACAATAAATATTTTAATTAATTTGAATTCTCACTATTTGCATTAAAAATGTAATTACATTAACAATTAACATGATATATTTAAATTTTTTGGCCTGAACCGCTAATTAATAATTTATTTACTTATTTTTGTGTTATAGATATTTATTTAAACCACTAAAAACTACACGTGATTTTTGTGAGCTTGTCCAAAGTGTTTGCGAAAATGAGATGAGAAGCGACATGTTGCATAGACCATCTCATCCAGCTACCAAAGTGTTCCAAGCGTTGCGCATATTTGTTAACAATGAATTGAACGAGATCAACCATAGTATAGTTTTGGCTAGTCATTTTTTGAAAATTGGTGGAGTCATGGTAACTGTTGCCTTTCATTCTCTCGAAGACACCATAGTAAAACGGCATATTCAGGGTAATATCAATGAAAACATGGCCAATGCTCTACCCTTGAAATATATTAATCCAATGCAATGCTATGATAAAGAGTTTATGAATGTAGTCAATGATACTTGTTGGCATCAAATTCATAAACATGTGATTACTCCAAGTGTTGAAGAGGTTGAATCAAATCCTAGAAGTAGATCAGCACGTCTCAGGGCCGCCGTTCGAATAAAATAGGACTAGTTTTTGTTTGATTTTGTCATCTAATTATTGTAGATTAAATGTAATTATTCTTAAAATATTATTTCATCTATATGCAAACTAATTGATTAAAACTTAAAATAACATTAAATAAGTTTCTTGATGATAAGAAATAAAAACCCTTAATAGTTGAATATCAATGTCAACAGGTTGATGTGAATAAACAGGTGTCTGTGGCTGGCGTCAATGCATTGTTAACAAATAGTAAAATCTGTGTTGTATTAATTCTTTATTGAGTGGTTATAACAAAGGCCACTTTTATGGGCATGTCAAAAAACTTACAATGTTTAAAGTATTAAATGTTTTCAATCAATAAGCATTATAAGTAAAAATATAAAAACGGGGAATGCTATTATAAAACTGAATGAACTAAATAAAATAAAATTATATTACCCTAAAACAGTTTAATGATAATAAAGATAATATTGTTTGATAAGTACTAATAAACTAATTATTAATAATAATGTATTTAATGTACATTGAAATTTAAATAAATAGTTAATTAACTATTTGTTTAGTGATATTTAATCATTTTTAATTAAATAAATTAATACAGATCTGTTGTTAACAAATGATTGAATAGTAATAGTTAATTATAACTTATGAATAAATTGATTTAAAATTATTTTTCAGTAATTTACTTAAAATATAACGAATATTCTTTAAATAACATTAAATATATTTTTAATTTATCGAAGAGTATGCTTTATTATCATTGATTATAAAGGTACTAAAATATGAAAATAAGAATTTAAATAACTCTATAGAAGGTGCAATTTCTACGGTTTATCTCAGATTAGAAGAACATTGCTTAATATGAACTTTTAAATTGTACCATATGAAAAAGGTATTAAACTTTAATTGCTTTATTGCCCTACATACCGAAATGTGAAAGTTGTTTTAACTTAAGTTATTAAAACTTATAACTTATTACATAATGATTCTAATCTACACAAAGTTTTAATTGTTAATGTGTGTATAATAGAATCTATAAATTTCTCTAAAATTCAAAAATTGTGTTCAATTTATTTTGGTTTTTAATATTTTATAAGATTTTCCTTTATTGTTAACTCAGGCTGTCAATAGTAGATACTAAAAATGTTGATTAAGATATAAAAATATAATAAAAATTCCCTACACTTACAGTGTTATAGCATACAGAAACATGACCAAATTTAATTTATGTAACTAATGCCAGTTTGCATAAAAAGATATTAATTTAATGGGCCAATTGTGGACCTCGAAATCATTTTTAAAGTACCATTAGCTCACTGTTTTAAAACAATTGACACTGACACATCAACATTTTTACTATCTGAAAACAAATACATAATCAATGATTATTTTAAAGTTGAGGCTTAAAAACAGAATGGTATCATTTGATATTAATTAAAAATAATTATACCTAATAATTTTTATATAAACGTGGCTATTTAAAAACGAGAAAATCTACAAGTTCTTTAGAGAAAAAAATTAAAAAAATTACTTTACAATAAATAAAATGTGTGATGAAATATTATTTATATGGAAAATTCCATGTTTTTATTTATAAGTTATAAAATACAAAAAAAAAAAAAACAATTAAAATTTAATAATTACAATGAAAATTTAATAATGATATGCATTATTACTTGTGTTTCAACAAGAATCTTTATGGCACTATAATGACTATATGGGTATGATATAATTACTTTACTAAAATAGACCAATAATTTCTCCTGTTTCAGTATTTAAGTCGATATCGTAAATACTAGGACGAGTAGACAAGCCAGGCATTTTGGAAATCTAAATTTTAAAAAAAAATGCATATATTTTTATTATCATAATATTAGTGATCTTGGCCAAAATGTTATAAATTACTTCTCCGGCTATTGTAACAACAAATCCGGCACCAGCAGATACATATACATCCACTATTGGTAATGTGAAGTTTGTGGGAACACCTTTTAGATTTGGATCTCCGCTTAATGACAATGCTGTTTTTGCCACACAAACTGGTAAATTTCCATAACCCTGTAAGTATTTAATAGTATTTGAAACATATCTTCTTTATTGATAAGAAAAATGTATAGAGTAGGTGTAAAATATGAAAAAGATTCTCGATTCCATAAATGCAAACTTAAATTAAATATTATGATGCATTTCATATTATAGAAAAATTATTTGTCTTGAAATATTAATAAATTAACATGACTTCACACCTTGGATTGGTATGAACTTAATTTGTTTAAAACATGTTCATTATACTCCACAGATTTTGCACCATACATTTCCTTAGCAATAATTTCGATCTTAAGCTGCAATGGCATATTCAGGTCATACAAAAATCTATGGTTCAAAACAAAAATTTAATATTTCACTGCAAGATCAACAATAGTATTGTAGATTACTTGAATTCTTGGGGTTGTTGACTGGCTTTAATTACAGTCTCGGCTAATTTAATAGCTCCAGATCCACCATTTTCCCAATGAGTGCTCACAACTGCATCCATTGCACCTGCCTGTAGACTCGCATCTCTTACAATTTTCCATTCGTTCTCAGTATCTGCCTTCATAGCGTTTATGGCCACAACAACAGGAACACCATATTTAACACAATTGCTGACGTGCTTTTGCAAATTCGCTACACCTTTACTCAATGCTTCCTGTTATAAATAATTAACATAATTTGATAATCTTACAAACACATCAAACAAAATTCAGTTACTTCTTTTTCTACTGGTGTAGCAGAAACATTGGGACTGATGGCTCCACCACCATGCATTCTTAAGGCCCTAACAGTACATACTAATACTATGGTACTAGGCAAAAGACCAGAATATCTGGTTTTGATGTTGAAAAATTTTTCCATTCCTATAAAAGAATGTATTCAAAATTTTAAATTTTTTAATAGTCAAAATTATTTGATTTTCTTGTTTATTCATCCCTTTATATTTAATTTAGACTTACCAATATCTGATCCAAAACCAGCTTCAGTAACAACATAGCCATCGGGACCTACTAGTTTAGAAGCAAGTAAATCTGCTACAATAGATGAGGCACCATGAGCAATATTAGCAAATGGGCCAGCATGTACCAGTACTGGGGTCCCCTCAAGTGTCTGCATCAATGTTGGGTTAATAGCGTCTTTCAAAAGCACAGCCATTGCACCAGTCATACCTAAGTCATCTGCAGTGACATCTTTATTTGATGTAAGATTTCCAATTTTCTTGTCTTGCGCTACTACAATACGTGATAGTCTTTCTTTTAAATCGCTGGCATCTTTGGCTAGAGCCAGAATGGCCATGATTTCACTGGCCACAGATATGTCAAAACATGTTTGCCGAGTATGGTTTTTCTCAGTTGGTGACTGGCCAATTGTAATTTTACGTAAGAAACGATCATTTGTATCCATTACTAAAAGTTGAAAATATTATTCTTATGGTCTTAGTCAAATAAATCATAATTTAACATGAAATATGGTACATGAATATTATTTAATATTTACCTCTATTCCATGATATAGTATCTGGATCAATATTTAGCCTAGAAAAAGAAGTGATTTCTTCCGCAGTCAACGTTGATGGGTCAGTCTTGTTGATTCCAAGCCTCTTTAACCTGTTCAGTTGTATTGGAGAGAACTTACGAACACCATTCACAGTTGGTACAAGACGATCATATAAAGCTTGGTCTTTTTGAGTAGCCTCGTGGAACATACGGGCGTCAATTTGTGCAGCCATTAAATTGTTAGCAGCAGTTACTGCGTGTATATCACCAGTCAGATGGAGGTTGAAATCTTCCATTGGTATCACTTGGGAGTAACCACCACCTGCCGCACCACCTAATAAAAGCACAGTTATTAAACAAAACCAATTTTAATCCCCAAAACTTTAGTGATATTCAAAAACCTTTGATTCCAAACGTTGGTCCTTGTGAAGGCTGTCTCAAACACGCGATAGTATTTTTCTTGGAGTGTGCTGCTAATGCTTGAACGAGACCTACTGTTGTTGTGCTCTTGCCTTCACCAAAAGATGTTGGTGTGATACTGTAATATAATTTTCACAAAATAATACAAAATCACAAAAAAAAGTATCTTATTAAATATTTATATGGTTTCATTCTAGGAAGGTATTTGATCTTTTGAAGATTTATAAGTTAAATATATTAAAACAATTTATTTAACAAATTATTAATTAAAAACAAAATGAATAGTAAATAGTATCAATATTTAAATTAATTATTGGCTATTGCTCTATTTAATATACTGCTATAAAATTAAAACCACTGTGAGATATCAAAAAAAAAAGTTATAAATGTATGTAATATATATTATACATAAATAGACATATTTAAATTGTGTTATGTATATTAACTGCTGATAGTATATTACTATTTCTAGCATTAATCATTTAAAATTACATTCATCATAAAGGTAAATAGTTTATAAAAACAATTTATCTAAGATTTCTAAATACATACCCAGTAATAACAATATATTTTCCGTTATTTATGTTCTTTAGGCGGTCTAAAGTGGATATGCAAATTTTAGCCTTTTTATTACCATATAAAATCACCTCAGATTCTTTAAGACCAATTTCTTTAGCCAACAACATTATATTCTTTGGTTCTTGACTTCTAGCGATTTCAATATCACTAAAAAAAAAGAAAATATTTAAACTTATGTAAGAGAACATAATTTAAATAATAATATCAACTTTACCTAGGCACTGGTCTTTGAAGTTTTAATGGAAGTATGTCTAAATTCCATTGGGACTTGAAGATATTGTTTGCAACCTTTGTAGCTGCTTGTACAGTATTAGATAGCAACATAGCAACAGTCATAGGCCCAACACCACCAGGCACTGGTGTTATGGCAGATGCTCTCAGAGATGTTGATGAGTAGTGAACATCTCCAACCAAACGATAACCAGACTTTTTTGAAGAGTCTAAGAAGAAAGTAAACATTTTACACTAATTAAATTTTAAACTTATAAGCATAATTACCTTGAATAGAGTTGATACCACAGTCTATAACTACTGCTCCGGGTTTTATCCATGACCCATGAACAAATTCTGGTTTCCCAATAGCAACAACTAAAATATCTGCTTTAGACACCTGAATAAAGTATTAATTAATGTCGTTAAAATTGTTTATAGATTGCAAATAAATAGTATTTACAAAAATAAATGTAAAAATTAAATTATTAAAATTTATACTATATATAGCTGATAATTATTGTTAAAACTATTGCTAAGAAAAATAACATTCATTTTTAAATAAAAAAAGGTAGATTTTTAGCTTTTTAATCATTTAAAGACAAAAATATTCAAAAGGTCATAAGGATAGATTTGTTTTTGTTTTCTTATAAACAATTATAATATTCTTAACTTTTTAAACATACTTCTTTTTCAATGTCCTTAGTTTTAGAATGACAAATTGTAACAGTAGCATTATGCCATAATAGTAAACTAGCCACAGGTGCCCCGACAATTTTACTGCGGCCCAACACTACAGCCCTTGTTCCAGAAATTTCAATTCCACTTCTGGAATTTTAATTAACAATGCATATATAATCATATAATTTAAATGGAAAACATTTTTACCTTTTGATAAGTTGAATAACACCATTTGGAGTGCAAGGAATCAGACCAGTTAGATCACCAATAGCTACTCGACCTTCATTAACAATGTTTAAACTATGTGCATATACAAAAAAATACAATTTTTAAAATATCTTTCAAATAATTTTAAGAATAGATAGGGGTAGATTCACGCCAAATTAAGGTCTTGACAAATTGTTTTAAATAGCACTAATTTAGTTAATCGAGTGGCCCAAAAATGTTTTTCGATCAGTTGGACCCTGCCTAACAATAGTTATTTACCAATAACTGCACATATGCGGTAAGAACATAAATCATTTATATTCATTTATATTTAAATCATATATTTAGTCTATAATTGATCAATTGTTATTCATTATAATATTCAAGTATATGTTAAGTATAATAAATTGTTGGTATAGTTTAATGATATTGAACTAATTGGCTAATATTGTAAACTAAAGTAATAATATTGTATAAACCTATACTGAATAGATAACAAATTATATAACTTTAATATTTTTTTTATTTAACTGGCCTGAATTAAAATCAGAGATCCCAATACAGATGTCATCACTTGAATCAGTCTACCATTGGCTTTAGATACAATATGCATATAATATTAAATATTTAAATATATTAACCCGTCAACATCCTTTTCAGGAGAAACAGCATTGGTGATCAAATGTGAATCAATATTTTCTATACAATCTAAAGGCATTTGAACAATAATACCATGTACAGATGAATCGATGTTGTATTTGTTGATTTCTGACAATAACTAATTAACATAAAACACAATATAATTSATTAATGAATGAAAAAATATTTTTGTTGCTGATTCAATTGAAGCATATTTTAATGAAATTTAAAACCAAAATAATACACACCTCATTTTGAGTGATTGTCTTGGGATACTGTACATGTGATGCTTCCACACCCACTTCGGCCGCAGACTTAATTTTTTGCCTGATATAGACATTGGAATCATCGCGTCCTCCTACTTGAACAATAATGAGGCGAGCTTTAAACCCATTAAAATGTTCAGCAAGTGCATCAGTTTGTTTTTTCAAGTTGCTCTTCGTTTCCCTAATTTACAATGAGGTTAATGCATCATTAAATGTGCTATGCATAAACCTGAAGCGTTGGTAGTTAAATGTTCAACTTACTTGGATAGTTCAGTACCGGACAACACTTTTGCAACAACTTCTTCGGACATGACGATGACGAGTGCTGACAGTAATAAATGAATGGGAAGTGAATACCTATAATTAATACGAGTATACAACTCAAGAAGTGTATATGGCTCAAGGGTGCAAAGGTAAGGATTTACTGGCTTTAGGATTCTAAAGAATTATGGACGAGTTACAACTTGCTACTTTGCTAGCAAGTAAAGATTTAAAGTTTGAAAATAATATTAATTTGGGATTACCACGGTCCACCTGTTGCTCGTTATCAATAAAAAGCAAATCACGTTATCTGCTCGCCGGGCGCCGATGTAATGTATGCGTTCTACGTAAATTTGAATAATTTTTCCCACTGCTATCCGGTCGAGCATAAGAATTGTATTAACATTAAAATCTAGTTATGACTTTTGATAGTTATGRTTCAATAATTATTATCTTGTTATATTAAAATACCAAAGGCCATTATTTATAATTGTGTTGTTACCGAACACCAAAGCAGGTTTATCAGTCACAAATCGATAATTACATTATACGTATTTATAAGCAATTATGAAATGTAATTACGTTATTGTGATTTATATTTTATCATTTTGTTTCCTTCTTCTTGAGCTTATTAAAAATAATTAAGGTTCATCACCGCATCAACACAAAACTCTACTTTATTATTGTTCTAAATTTATATTTTATGAAGTACAATTGTAGTACTTAATAAAACCATTTTTATCCGTTCAGCCATTTATGCAATAATTGAATGTTAACATTTCTATAATTTTTAGTTTAAACACTCACCAATTATCAATGCAACGAAAAACAATATGCCACGACTTGGTGCATGTGAGGCACTGCAAAATCTTTGGCCGCCCTACCTCAGTTCCAGCACTCGACACTTAATCAAATAATTATACACCAATTTAAAATATGAATTACAACACTATACATTATACATAATATAACAGCACCTATTAAGTATGGTTTAGAGTAAATTCTGTAAAGACCTACTCACTCAAGTATAATAGCTCTATAAATAATAACTCTGCTTATTAGCTTCAAAAGATATAGAAGTCAGGCCGCGCGAGGGAATGCAGTCGAGTATGACTATTGACTATTAATAATTAAGCATTTAATTTCATTTTTATTACCAACACACCTAAATCTACTTGGGAAGTATGGAATAGGAAAATAGGAAGTAATTCATTAAAAAAGTGGACCACTCAGACTGTCCACTCACCTTCCAGCAAAGCTGGTTGCGATCATCGTCGCTGAATAGTCATCACTGCGAACAGCAGACCACCAGCAGTCTCACGCTCTGGCWAATGGACAAGTCTCATCATCGTGGCCGATGACGACTCCAGATTTGCACCTGGAGGGGACGAAGCATACTACAGAAATGATCCTGTGAAGTATGATCTTAAATTATTTCGAATCGCTGGCCCGTACTTATAGTGATCGTCAGCTGCTTAACACGAGTTTCTTGTAAACTAGTATATCGGTTTTTGACGCTGTAGGAACCGAACTCTTTGGCTGGAATGTACTAGGATACACTATTTTAGTCAGTTGAGTGGTTATTTTATTAATCGTACTCAAGTACAACGAGTTGAAAGTACCGAAATCAGCGGCGACGCGATTCAATGCCGAGTCACAGTGGACGTGCAACGCTAGAGCCATCTAGCGGCACTAGTAGGTCCAATTTTTAATTCTAGTCGTCGCGTCGTCCGCAATTATTCAACTAGTGTGTACTGTGTTTTGAGTTTTCGATTTCGGTTTGAACATGATAAATTTAATGTATCATGGGTTTGAACTTTTGAATAAAACGCTAAACGGTGGTGTCACTTCTCATCTACAAATAGTATATTTTTTATAATTTTTATAGTAGGTAGTATTTTTAACTTTTGTAGTTTTGTGTGTTTGTTTTACCTGCTACTTGCTTCATTTTTACTATAATATGTTAAATGGAAAGTTTAATACTCTTTTGTAATGTACATAATATAAATATCATGGCTTATTCAAAAGTGATTTATAGTAATGTATTTTAATATTTATCTACTTATCTGATCAACAAACTGTAAACTTTTTATTACTTCTTATTTATTTAATTAGTATGAAATACCAATTATAATTAAAATGTGAATAGTTAAGTACCTATTCTAATAATTTTAATTTTAAAATACTCGATATTATAGTATACCTACTGGTCTAAAATTCTAAACATAATTCAATAGTTTTTGTATTATGTTCACTAAGTACCTATTTTTCCTAAATAGAAATATATCTACAACTTGTGGGTTCACTTGTTACTTAGTCAGTGAAAAGTGAAACCTATCTTGGATTAGGTTAGAAACATCCATGTTTTAAATGTCCACTTATGAAAAAGCCAAAAATTTTCAATTAACATAATTTCATACAAAAATTAATAAAATTCACTGTTTTTGGTGTACAATGTACCAAATATAAAATAATATTTTAAGTGATAATTAAAATTTTTAGTTATCTTCTTTGTTACTCAATATTTTTAAATAAATTAACTTTTTTTTTATAATTGAGTATAATATTATCCATTCTTACTGTTTGTGAATTAATTACCCCAAATAGCAGTGGTTGAATTGGAGGACGACGCAAGGGAACTGAGCTACTCTTCATTTTTCTTCAAATTATATTGTACCCGTACTATTTCAATGAATAGGGTTACTATTAGATTAATTTGTTTTGGAACACTAACAATTCAACTTAATTTAGGGTCCACCTTTACTTTTTTCTACTCACCAGTGTCAAATTGTGGTAGTTTCAATTGGGTTGAGTAAAAAATAAAATGATGATGAATTGCCTATTCTTAATATTCCAGTAGTAATTTAAAATGTTATAATATTCTTTAATACTATAGAAAAAAAAACTACATGAGAGTGCATGAGCCCGCCATTACACTCTTGGGAAGTAAAACGTCTTTCATAAGTACCTATTAGAGCTCCTGAAATTATAAGTGAATTATAAATTATAAATTATAAATGTTATATATATATWGATTTGTCGAAATCAACAAAGGTGTTACTACAATCATTGCGTTTTATTTTTCGTGACAATTTTTTTCCACCCATACTTTGAGAAAGAAGTTTTGCTTCAAAAGTTTTATTCATACCATGGTGTATTAATATGAGTTAAAAGTTTTTTCAATCAATTTGTGTAAATTTCTTTTTCTAATACATAAAACTTACAATTATTTTTTTAAATAATTTAATACTGATTTTACTAACTCAAATCTATTCTTTTTCCCTTTATATATTATTATATTTTTAATAAAAATTTTTCAAATGGTGTGTTGATCCAAAACAGTGTAATCAGTTCATTTTAATTATGTTGGCTACACTGATGATTTATTTATCAAAATGTTCAATGTTATCTATCTACAGACTACAACTTTTTATTCAATAAAACCACAATAAAACTGTCACCGGTGATCTCTTTGATGCCTACTTTATTGTTTTGCTCTTTAAAGTTTAAATATCTGTTTTAAAATATAACCAATTATTTTTTTTAAAATTATTGTAACAATAACTATAACAAAAATGGTTAAAGTAAAGTCTTTAAAAATAGATCCGCATAAAAACTTTTCCAAGACGTTAATGAAAATGAAATTTATGAATCCGGATATAGACACAAAAGAAGTAGCTGTAACAATTAAATCTGAACATAGACCTAAGAAAAAAGACGTTTCCAAGATTAATAATTGGGAACCGTTTTATGATCTTTTACCTATGTCAAGACTATCATTTAACGGTATGAATACTGATGTAGAGAATATGATGAAAAAACTTGGTGTGCTTCAGCGTGACCCTCATGAACATGGTAAAATGGATGTGGACATAACAGTTGAAGAAATGATCATAAGAAAAAATAAAATGAAACAGAGGAAAAAGTAAAATTKAATTATGTACCTACTTAATGTATTTTGKATTTTTGTTTTTACATACATAAAAATTGTATATTATTCTAGGAAAGCTATATTCTTATGTACATTATATTATATTGTTGTATGAATAATTGATTATAATCTTATGCTTTATAACTAACTATATTTTTTAAAATTATAATTGTATTTCTCTTTTTAAACTTTAACTTTTTGCTTTTAAAATATAAAGACTAGACCAATTTTATTATTATTTGAAAGGTTAATATTGTGCATGGGTTATATATCAAATACACTATATACCTACATTGGTTAACATTATTTTAAAGTTCAAGTATTTATGTTGAATACTTGATATTTGGACATATGTTACCTAAGTACCTATAAATTGAGATTATAGTTAAAATACTGCTTTTGAAAAATGTGAAAATGTGATATTTATCTATTTTATTATGCTAATTTTTACTATTATAGAAAATTATTTGCACATTATAGAACTATTATCTATATCATCATATTAAAATTTTAGTTTAGAAAAATTAACTGTGTGCCGATCAAAATTTATTCAAAAACCTTTAGCCCACTATGCTGACACATGCAATATATTATATACTGTTATATGGTAATATCTACAATAAAATATTATCTATAATTATCTATCTGATTTTTCTGTGGCATGCCAAGTAATTTGTCAAGGGTGGCGCTCTAATACTCAATAAATACTTTTTTATTTGTTTTTACTCTCCATGTTCAACTTAATAATAATTCAAGTATAGTTTTGTTCAATACTTCATAGTTCAAAATCAACAGTTTACTTATAACTAATAAGTTTATAACATCATGTAAGTAGGCAAAATTTTATCCAATTTATGTAATACATATAAACTTAATTAGGTAATAAGTAAGCATTTTATATTTTTATTGTATTTATACAAACTAAATACGTGCTAAAAAATTCAAATATGTAATCTATGATTGTGATTTGTTTATAAAATTKATAGCATTGTGCATAGTGGGTATTAATAAATATTTAAATGTTGCATTAATAAATTCAGTCTAAAAAAGGAACATTGTATAGTGGGTACCYACSCACCTTAAAAATTATATAGATATATTTATAAAAATATTTGTTTTTGAGAAAGCTCATCAACACGTATTAACTCTATTGGACAAACGTACAACATGGAAAATTTGTGTTAAGCTATATGAATTTTGTGTAACAACTTTCAATAATACAGTGAATAATTGTATTATGCCTTATCAAACGTACCTACAGGCTTGAACTAATGTGAACTGTGTTTCCATGGTTTTCTTAAAATATTTTAATTTTCAAGCAAGTTA